TGTGACGGTGGGAACACGCCACAGGATCTGCTGCCACTCCCCCCAGAAACGACCCGAAGCACACCCCCCCCCCCCCCCCCCCCCCCCCCCCCCACAGAATGTCTCAGGGAACATGGTCATAAATCTTCTCCAGGTCCACAAAACACATGTAGACTAGAGTCAAACTCCCATGACCCCCTTAGAAACTCTGCAAAGGTGACAATCTGCTCCACGACCAGGACGCAAGCCACCCTGCAGCTCCTGAATCAGAGGTTTGACAGTCGGTCCCTCCCAACACCTTGCAGTAAACTTTCCCAGGGAGGCTGACCAGCACAAACTTTGTTCTTGTTAGAACAGTTCTCTCAGTTCTCGTTGATTTTGTAAAAAGAACTGAGATGAGATTAAGTAAAAACTCACATATTTTCATAAGAGTTTGTGTCTAACAAACGAGATTAAAAAAAAATGTGACAAAGGTTAGTGTGAAGACGAGGAGCTGAAGAAGCTCTGCTCCAACCTGACAAGGAGATGGACGAGTCTTGACTGTCTCCCACCATCCTGACGGGATGCCTGATGAAATGATGCTTCAGTACAGACAGTTTCTTCTCCGGGTTTTCGGTGAACTATTTAGAAAAAAACAACAACTGAGTTTTAAAGGCCGGTTTCTGCTGGGATCAGGTCTTGTTTAGTCACAGGAAGAGGGTTCTGTTCAGACCTGTCTGGTTTCAGGCTCGATGAGGTCAAAGAACGCTCTGACTGTAGCCAGAACGAGCTCCTTGCACCTGGAACACAACAGGATACCTTCAACACTTGTGGACCGTCTTGTTGTGGTCAAATTTAGGTTGAATTCTTTTACCAAACGATGGAAAGGTGGTCGGTGGACACCCAGGTTCTGGGAACGGCAGTCACCTGAAAAACAAGAACCCAAACATCAAGACAACGATCAGGTGAGCCCAAACGTCAGAGCAGGATTTAAGATCTACAGATTCTCTGAACCACATAGAGGATTACATCACAAACCAATCGTACCACCAGGGACAGTTTATTAGGGTCGCCGGGGGGACAGGGAAGGGATGTCAGGCCAGAGCGGACCTGGTAGTCTCTGTACCCGCCTCCGACGGACAGAACGGTGACATTCCTGAGCCTGTTGGCCTGGTTCACCCACTTCTGCCTCACTGCAGAGTAGAACTCTATCAAAGAGAAGAAAAACAAAGTGATGAGACCGAGCCTCGCTCCTAACCGGCGGCCCGATGGCTCGGCTCACCCAGCAGGTACGGGTCCAGCCCCAGGACTGGAGACAAGTGCGGCGAGGCCTGGGTGATGATGAGGCTGACCAGATGAGGGTTGAATCGAGGCAAGGTGAATAGCGCTCGGGCCACGACGCCCCCCATGGAGTGACCTACAATTGCCACGCTCTGAGGGGGGATCTTAAGATGCTGTGGGTCAAGAGATTGGTTAAATGTGTGCTTGATTAAAGGGATCTCCAACTACTTGCACATATTAGCCTCAATATGTTTTTACTTCTCTATTCTACTTTTCCATCTACTACCCTCAGTGAATCCAGTGACCTGCTGGTGGAATACGAGGGACACTATGCCAGTGCTGTCAAACTGACAACCAGGTATCTGTGTGTGCAACGATCATCATCTACAGCCTCAGAGGGAACATGTTCTACTGCTGGAGACACCATCAGCCAGGAGTGGGCTTGTTTGTGTCCAGAGAAAGAAGACATGATGTTTCTGAAGAAAAACTGTTCAGTGAAAAGGTCCTCAGTGTGTAGCAGTGAGCATTAGACACCGACGTGTCACTTGTTGTTTGCAACTGTTCTTTTGAACGGTTTCATTTAATTTAATGTAAAAAAAACTGCTTGGAATAGAAATACCAAAGTTAAAAAATAAAATTCACAATATGTACTGTAATGTGTAACGTAATTTTATTCTTGTTAGAATTAATATTAATTACAAAATTGGTACCAAAAAAAGAACCGTCCAGGAACCGACACAGATTTTTTTAGAAAGGTACCCAGCCCTAGACCAGGAACAGGTTTTAGCGGTTCAGGTCTGACCTTGTAGAGGCGCAGGATGGCCTTGATGCTCTCGTGCAGGAAGTGGGTCTGTCGGAGTAAACTGCCGCCGTAAAGAGCCACCAGCTCCTCGTTGAAGTCCACGGTGAACACGTTGAGGTGCGTCTTCCCCTCCACCGTCTCAGCCTTCCTCAGAGCCACCGAGCCCAGGGAGCGAGCTTCAGGAGGACAAGACGGGAGGTGAAGAGGAGTGTGGCTCGGGTGAGTCAATTTATTTACATGAACATCGTGATGTCTTATAAAATTTAAATATTCTGTTCTGACCTGGTCCAGAAAATTTAAGTCCATTCTCACTTCTAAAGGATCTCAAAGGTTCAGAATCAGGACCTGAACGTCGGATCACCTACAGGAGACCTCAGAGCAGCACCACCTGTGACGTCTGATCTCCAGGATCAGCTGGGAGGAACCGGCACCAGAGTCCAAAACCATCACTCAGCTTCAGTTCTGATGGACCGGCCCAGTTTTAACTACCTCCCACAACAAAACTGAAGAAAAGACAATTCACCCGAGGAGGGCAGGAGAAGAGGTCCAGGTCAAACATTAAAAACCACCTGAGGAGGTGCTGCTCTGGACCTCCACACCTGGGAGGAGGTCCAAAACGAGGCACGTGTCCACGAAGGTACACAACCAGAACCGGACCCCCACCATACTGCTGAGACAAGCTGAGACAAAGAGGCAGGAAGAAAGGCCCCACATCCAGGTCAACCATCAGAACCTGCCCCCACTGGAACAGAACCTGTTGAGTGGAGGATCAAAGTCCCACAAGTGACCAGAACCACCTTCAGACTGGTCTGAGATCACAAGACACCAACCATGGTTCACAGCAGGTGGTTTGGAGAAACCAAACACCTCCCTTCAACCGTCAGGCACGGTGGTGGAGGGCTGATGATATGGGCTCCTGTTCTGCTTCTATTAGCTGTTTTTTTTTTTTTTTTAAATAATCCAACAGATTAATTCATATTAAATGTTCTTTGTGTCCACTCACCTTGTTTGTAGCTTCCTGCGTTTCCCGGCAGGAAGAGCACAGGTGCGCCGGTGAGTTTGAGCGCCCGGGTCTCCTGAGCATACGCGCCCTCCCCGTACAGATAGAGCCCGTAGGCCGGGTAGAGCCGGGCCACACGGCGCGGCAGAGCTACCCGCTGCAGGAACGAAAACAAGAAGCCAGATTAACAGCTGGTTTCACACAGATTATTCAAATTAACACATTTCCACCTGAGAGTGACCTAAAGCAGCTACAGAACAACTCTGATATTTTCTGATCTAACCAAGTTTAATTTAAACCCAGAGATGTTTGTAAAGACAAACGCCAACATGTCTGAGCCTGGCGCAGAAAAACAAAACTAATGTTCGACAAGATTCAGACGGTTTTAGTTCTTTCAGTATTAAAAACAGCTCTACAGTCAAACTGGAGGAGAGAAGAGTCTTGAATGAAATGTCTCAAACAGAACCCCAAAGAATGATTTGAAAGGCTTTTCTGAGCAGAACCAACAACTGATACTAACTTTCACCTTGAGCTGCTGGTTTGGACTTTTGACATGGAAAAACAGGAACAAACTCTGCTGGTATAGTCCTACAGAACCTCACTGACCTACAGAACCTCACTGACCTACAGAACCTCACCGACCTACACAACCTCACTGACCTACACAACCTCACTGACCTACACAACCTCACCGACATACAGAACCTCACCGACCTACAGAACCTCACCGACCTACAGAACCTCACCGACCTACAGAACCTCACCGACCTACAGAACCTCACTGACCTACACAACTTCACTGACCTACACAAGGTGAGGTCAGTGAACAAGGCCAGGCTGATTCTGGCAGATCCTGATCATCCACTCCATGGTGAGTTCAGGTTGCTTCCATCTGGACGCAGGTATCTGCTGCCCAGATGTTGGACAAACAAACTGAAAAACTCATTCATCCCTGTAGAGACCAGGCTTCTCAACGAACAGTGATGATCTCTGTAGTTATTTTAATCTCGGTGTCTAGTGTGGATATTTTGTGTGCCTACTGACTGTGAACATCAACAAAATGCCCCTCGGGGATAATAAAAATTATTGAACTTGAACTGCGCGCTACTGAAGCGATTTTCAGCACGAGCAAATAAATGTTGATATCCAAGTGGTTTGAGGTTTCCCTCAACAGGATTCAGGCCCGATCTGCAGGAGTTATCCTGATCCGCAAAATGAATGGAGGTATATTTCAGGAACCACTCATGGCATCAGGGCGATCCATGTATCAAAATGTAGTTTAACGTTCCAGTATGTAAAATAATGTGCTTCCTTCATTAAGTTAATCCCTGATTGGATGTGATGGGTCGCGTATTTCTTTAAAACACCATAAACAAAAGCATTATGTTGACATTTACATCCATTTATCCTAGAGCTTAATTTGTAAACTGATCCATGCTGGAATGCAAATGCAAATAGCTGGCAAGTCGGGGGGAGGGGGGGGGGGGGTGGTCTGGGGGTCCTCCCCCAGAAAATTTTGAATAAAGTACATGCGATTTCCTGCATTTTGGTGTATTTTAACAGGTTGTTAAACATCTGTGTTTACCTACACTTGTAAACACTCGCATCCTACCCCCCCTTTACTTGACTGTTCCGAACAGACTTTTCCGCAGAATTCACTGTCCGACTCCACATGTGAAACCTCCAGGCACTCACCCCCACCACTCTTTTAGGGGCTGACTTTTTTTTTTTTTTTAAGAGTAGAGGCAGAAATGCTTCACTTGAAGGGGCAGATGTATGTACGTATGTGATATTAAGAAGTTGTGTTGTGTTCAAAACTAGTGTTTATGTCATTTCAGTTTACATATCCAATAAAAGTTTTATTCGTTCAAGGCAGTCATATTTTTTTCATAACTTTATTATTGATGAGCCTGAGGGTTGCCAGATCCAAGCAAACAGTTGCCGGAATGCACCCTGTCAAAGTAAGAGCGTTCCCAGATCCTGATCCGGTTCAAATTAAGTCCCGTTTCATCCACTTAGTTTTCAGTTTTGCTAATAAATACAGTGAAAATGTGCCACATTTTAGTTTAATTGGCGGACCCACCCTTGGTGTTTCAGGACCCAGAACTTCAAGAACCACTCTGGACCATTTTATTAAGAGAATGTGAAGAAGAAGGACAACTAAAGGGTTGAGACACTATTGACTTTTTAACTAGTTTCTTCCCACGTGTCTTTCCTGCAGGACAACCCACCTGGATCAACATTCACCTGTTCCTTTTGATCACCTATTGTGTTTCTGAGGACCTGCTTCACATCTACTTTCATAACTCGACCCGGACCCGGTCGGACAGGTGCCCTGGATGTGTCAACTGAAACAGGACAGGTGAGGCAGTCAGACAGGTCACGTGACAGCAGCTGGCGGTCTCAGCTCAAGTTTGTTGAATGTTGGGACGGCTGCTCGAGAAGCAGCGCGGTCCGTGAGGCTGATTAGGTTCGGGTGAGCGGTTCGTGGTACTCACCCGGTACTCCGGGTACTCGAACATGTAGGTCATGCTGCATCTGTTCTCCTCGAAGCCGGTCAGCAGCTCCCGCAGGCCGACCACCAGGAGCCCCAGAGCGAACACGTAAAAGGCCACCCTGGCGAGTGTCATGGTTCGGTTCTGGTCCCGGCTCTTGAACGATTTGTTAGGTTCGTTTTACCTCCGTGTTCCGGACTCCATCTCCAGACTGGCACTTTGCTCCGAGACGAACCAGTTCACACACAGTCGCACACTGCGTGACGGCCGTGATTGGCAGGTGGTTCGTCCAATCAGAGAAGAGGAGAGAAAAAATTGACCAATGGGAGTGCGTCTCGTACTTGACGCTAGGAAGTGCCCATAAATGTTGAGCTAATTTTTCCTCTTAAATTAGCATATAGTTCCGTCAACAGTAAATGTTTCAACAATAAACTGAATTTGGTAGTTATGAATTTGTTATAATTGTAATCAATGGAGTTATTGTGTTTCGAACGGAGTAATTTGGACTTGGTTAAATGAATACATAGCAAAGCATTCCGCCGCGGTTTATGGGTACGCTGTCCATAAACACAGTGAGACGCCTGATTGGCAGATGCTTCATCCAATCAGAGAAGAGAAGTCAGAAAATGGACCAATAGGAGTGCATCTGATAGGAAACGCCCATAAATGGCCAGGGAGAGAAGAGGTGGCTGTTGAAAAAGGTCTGGCTCTCCCTGTTCAAGCTGCCCGAGACCTTAATCCAGAACTAAATGATGGATGGATGAATCAGATTATAATTAGAAGTAAAATGTCTAATTGAGTTCATGAGCCTGGATCAAAAAGGTTTGTATTGGCATAAATCTTACTGTGATTGAATTTTAAGTGTACATGTTCAGTTTTTCGTTCAAGTTCTTCCAAATGATTTATTGTAACTTTGTGCTTCATAAAAGGGCTACATTGAATATAAAGAAATGTTTAAAAGTTACGTTTTAAAAAGGTTTTAGTGTCAGGATTTATATATATAAAAAAAAAAACTTGTTGCAGTTTCTTTAATCGTCGATAAAAACAAATCAAAGCTCTGCAGCAGCAACATGAAGTGTGTTGATCAATGCGTTCATATATTTTAACAGCAACAGTTTATCTTAACGGCACAAATCCACACATAACAAAATAATATTTAATCAAAAAACATAATCGAACATCCAGATTCGTTGTGGGTCCTTCCGGTCAGGAGTTCGGTCCCGTTTTCACTCAAGTTATTGAAACAAACACTGAGGAGTTTCCTGCATTTGAGGAGTTTGCAGTGGGACCCGTGTTAAATCTAAAGCCTAAGGCAAAAATTTGGAATGCTCTATCCTGGTAATGGTCCAGTCTGAAGGTGCTCCTTGGGTGAACTCCTTCTGGAATCTGTCATAAAAAAAACAGAAAAGAAAGGTTGCTGCAAGATTTGAGTCACTTTAAAGGGATATTTTGGACTTTTGCTGTTATAAACAGCTCATTTAGGAACAGAAACTGAGTTTAGCTCATGACGAGCCAGACCTAAGATGTATTTTTCCAAATTGATGGGGTTCAAAGAGCCATCTGCCACAGGTAAGATACTAACTGCTCAAACCATGTGTACAGTATCGTGTTAAAATGTCCACAGATGAAAGCACTCACTCATAAATCGCTTCGAGAATCCTCTCAGTTGTCTCGTTTTCATCGTCTCTCTTAAAGAACTTACTTCTAGGAAATTCTATTTCCCCAGGAAGCCACGCGCTCGTCACGTACCAGAAGTGCATGAGGATACGGACGAACTTCCTCTCTGAAAACAAACACAAAATAAGATTAACACGGCATAAATGACCACAACCTGATATGCACAAACACGCACACAAAAAAACGACCATGGCAAGACGGAGCAGTTATCAGTTTTCATCACGTGACACGTCATTATGAGGACACATCATTATGAGGACATGTCCCGCAAAAGTTTCATCAAGTTTCTCTGAGATATGAGAAGAAACAGAAACACAAAGAGACAGACGGGGATGGACATACGAACAGAAGAACAGTATGACAGACAAAAGAGAAACATGGACACTCGGACAGGGAGAACAGAGACATAAAGAGACAAACAGAAAGACAGACGGATGGACGGAAAGCAGCAAATAAACAGACGGACGGACAGACAACTCGCTCTACACCATAACAGGACTCTGCTGTTTATAATTAAAATTTCTCGTACATCAAACTTTGTTTGGAATTAATAAACTGCAGCAGTTACAATAAATGTAAACTTTAAAATAATAAAGAGAGAGAGACATGTCTACTTGTAGATTCTTTGTGTGTTTGGGACGTGTTGGACTGAAATTTACAGCAGTCCATCAGAAAAAAAAAACATCTAAACAAAAAAAAAAAATCATCCTCATCACTAAAAGTTCTGATTTGGATCTAACGAAGCTGTGGAGCAGAGGAGGTTCTGTGTCAGAGTTAAGGCCCAAATGAGGATGAACTCTCAGTTTCGTAGTCGTCCGTGGATTTTTGTGTTTAGGTTGGAGGACCACCAGCAGCCCTGAAGCTTCCCGTCGTACCGTTGTCGTAGAAGATCCGGACGTCTCTCAGGATCATGAAGAGGATGTCGTCAGGATTTGCAGACAGAGCTTCCTTGTGGCTGGACGACAGAAAGCAACACTTTCCCGCCAGCTTCTCGATCAGCTGCAGGAAGCAGAACATCAGTGAAATTATTAAAAAAAAGTAAATAAAACCACTGAACAATAAGAAAAAGGCACAAACAACTCGGGGTTTATTACAAATAATTGGATTTTCTGCCAGTATTAAACTGAAGCTGGTGTCCGGAGAGGCTGTTTGAATAAATTCAGTCATTTCAGACTCACATCTTCATCCACGAGCCCCTCCAGAGCTTCGAACTGACACCGGGACAGCAGCCCGGACACGTGAGAAAAGGCCTGAAAGAGACGGAACAAAACCGTTTCATTCAATCTCACGTTGTCACCGTCCGAGTCCAGGTTCTAGGGGGTTTCACGGACCTGCGTCGCTCCTTCCGTGAACTCCTCGACGCTGAACTCCTTGTCAAAGTAGATTCGGATCAAAAAACAGTTAATCCGAGTTCGTAACCACCGGATCGGGTTCATGAAGCTTAACTCGAAGATCTTAGTTTTTTCCTGCGAGCTGCAGAAACGTCCTTCTGGGATTGACCCCCTCAGCCGGGTTTTACAGAACCGGTTCAGAACCACATTTTGATTCAAAACCGACCGAGTAAAACTAAAGGTTGGATTCAGCCTGGAACAACATCTTAACAAGGACAGCGCCATTTTGTTGCGTCTGCTTCCAATCGTTTCCGGTTAGGAACAGCTAAAAGCAGAGAGGATATAAAAGGAATAGCCAGTATAAAATTAAAATAATTAAATTAAATAAAAATTCGTTACCACTGTATCAGCTCTGAATACTCTGAATAATTTATGTTTAAACTTAACAATGAAGTCTGCTTTCTCGTATTTGCGAGGCTTTGAGGGACACTAAAAATAGAACACCGGCCAGTACCGCTTACTTCCGCTAAAAAAAAAAAAAAAGACAAATGATTCGAGTTAAATGGAGAACCAGGAAAACATATCTGTTCCCATATTTACTGAGGTGGACAGAAGAGTGTTTTTAGAGAACATCTATCCGAAGGTAAGGCAAAAAAAAACAACACTCTTTGCAGGGACTTTTGTTCTTTCTCACGAGCCCAGAATAACCTGATAACCGAATTCAACACTACACCAGGAAGCTGCTGCTGACAAACAGCTTTAACATTTTTGTACCATACCAATTTATTTATAGAGCACTTAAAACAGCAACAAGGCCAACCAAAGTGCTGTACAAAAGAACACAAACATGCACAGCGGACAGGAAAACATAAAATAAAAATACAGATACAAATAGCAGCAGAAGCTAACTAAAATGGTCAACAGTGTCGAGTACAAACCGGACCAAAACAAATCACACCGTGTTAAAGGCAAGAGAATAGAAGTGGGTCTTCAAGCGAGACTTAAAGACTGAGAGTGTGGGAGCCTGCCGGACACTCAGTGGCAACTCATTCCACAGTCGTGGACCTGCAACAGAGAAAGCCCCGTCACCTCTGAGCTTACGACGGGTTTCTGGGACTGAGAGAAGCATCTGGTCTGCTGACCTCAGAGAGCGCGGTGGGACATATGGCTGCAGAAGATCAGTGAGATAGGATGGGGCGGAACTGTTCAGTGATTTAAAAACATACATGAGAATTTTGAATTGGATCCGAAGGTGAATGGGTAGCCAGTGCAGGGAGGCCAAAACTGGCGTGATGTGCTCTCTATAGCCTGTACCAGTTAAAAATCGGGCTGCAGCATTTTGGACCAGTTGTAGACGAGCAATGGAGGACTGACTGATTCCAAACAGAAGTGAATTGCAGTAATCAAGCCTAGATGTTATGAAGGCGTGGCAGCGGGTTCCATGTTTTTATACTCCGTTCATCACTGCTGCAGTTAAAACCATCCGACACTTTAAACTGTAGAGACAACAGTGATTTTCATACTTTTTAAAAAGACTAAACTTTTAACACAAATTATAAGTTGTAGCCGTATTACACGTGTGGCTTAAAATTATCTGTAAGATTTAAAATGTATAAATTGAAACCTAAAATGAACAAAAGCCTATTTAAAGTCATATTGTGTAATTATGTATTGATTATTGGATAGTCTCACGGTTCTGGAGGAGTTCTGGTCCACCCCCCCCCATCATTCATTGAGGGTTCTGCTCGGCTCTCTGAAGGTCCACCTCAGCATCTTGAGGTTCTGGACTCAGACTGGTTCTTGGTTCTGTTCTTTCTGACCCACTCTGTTGTAGTCAGCAGCTGTGTTTGGGATCATGGTTCTGTTGGACCCAGTTTGTTGGACAGATTAACTCACATTTGACTCCAGAACCCTTTGGTCTACAGAGGAGTTCTGGTCCACTCAGTGGCCGACAGGACTCAAACCATCAGCCTCCACCACCGTGCTGACAGCTGTTTGCTACAGTGCATTCTGGGTAAACATCTGCCCTCTGGTCCAGAAGTCTTGTGGTTCCTTCAGACAAAACTTTACAAACCTAAGTGGTGTTGCCGTGTTGTTTTTAGAGAGAAGAGTTCATGACCTTTGACCTGCTGACCGAGGCCAGTAGTCACTGCACGGTCTGACCTTCAGGGTGAATCTGCTGTGACGACTGCCAGCTGTTTAAATGTTTTCCTCTTGTCCACAATCTTCATCTTCGTGGAACGATGGTTTAGAAATATCCTCTGACCCTTCCCAGCCTGATGGGCAACAACAGCTGCTTCTCTGACATCATTGCTGATGTCTTTCTGCCCAGGCATTGTGGTAACACACTCCTGAGTGCTCCAGAGCAGCAGAAACTGTTTTTGTTTTTTGAGGTGGTCCTGATGATCCTGAACCTCTGAGGTTTTGTGGTCCCGCAAAGCTGGAACCAGTTTTTCCACATCATGTTTCTTCATTTTGACCGGTCCTTTGATCCGTAACGCAGGTTTGAGTTAGCGTAACGTCTTGCTGTCTTGTTCCAGCGCCGACCGGCCGTCCTGAGGGGAGTGGACCTGGGCCCGTGTGTGGACAGATGGACGGTTGAATATCTCGGGGAGAAAGGAGGCGACAGGGAGGTGAAGGTCCACGTCTCCACCGTAGCTCAGATGGATTTCCTTCATAAAAACTTTGCCTACAGGTCAGTTCAAACATGCGTTTTTCTGTTACCGACACTGAACCTTAACGCTGCAGCTTCTCTCTTTCTCACAGGACTCTGCAGTTTAATGAATTTGTTAAACGAGCATCGGAGACAAAACACTCCGACTTCTTCCTGTGTGAGGTACGGCTCATTAAAAAGTGACATTTTTTTCATTTGATATGTTTGTTCATGACTCAAACTCCTGGTTGTGATTTTAGGATGAGAGCTACTATCTTCGATCACTGGGAGAGAACGTCCGCAAGGTATTAAACCAGTTTAATTTAAATAGTTAATGAACACGAGGTCGGAAAAACACGCCTGAAGATTAATCAGTCACTTCCCGTACAATGGCAAAATCACTTCTCTGCATTTAAACCATCGCGCCTGGGATACACCCAGGTGGAGCAGTGGGCAGCTATGTAAGTGCCTGGGGAGCAATTCGGGATTGGGCGTCTTGCTCAGAGACACCACGGCATGTGGGAATGGCTGGGGATCGAGTCTGGACTGTAGGGTCCCGAGTCGGCTGCCCTGCCTCTACCCCATCTTGTATAATCAGCCGCCCCATCTGGATTTTACAGCATCCCTTGAATGCAAAAGAGAAGTGTCACTTAGTGGAGTAACATTAAAATCAAAAGTAGAGAAATAGAGTTAAAATATAAAATACAACTGAAAGGAAAGCTTTTTAGGCCTAAAAAAAATAAAAACACAAATTAATGCGTAGCTGATTCCCCCCCCCCCCACGAGACCCGAGGGATAATTAATGTTCTCCCTCCTCGACAGGAACCTGCTGATCTGAACAAACAGTTTCCGGACTTGGCCGAGGACTTTCACGTCCCTCACTTCTTCGAACCGGATCAGTTCTTCTCCAGCGTGTTCCGGATCAGCTCCTGCGGCCTGCAGCTGTGGACGCACTACGACGTGAGCGCTTCGAGGTCCGCGTTCACTCCGGCCCGGCATCTGTTTGTTGACTGTGTTGGTTCCCTCAGGTGATGGACAACCTGCTGGCTCAGGTGACTGGAAGGAAGAGAGTGGTTCTTTACAGCCCCCAAGATGCATTGCACCTCTACCTGTCTGGTAGGTTGCTATGGACACGGGTCGCTTGCTTGGCTGGAAATTAATTTTACTTTTACCCATGGCATCCTGATGTTGATCAGTTTATTTGACCCGTCAGGTGATAAGTCAGAGGTCCTGGATGTCGATGCCCCTGATCTCAAAAGGTTTCCGGACTTCGTGAAGGCGAGGAGGTACGAGTGCGTTCTGGAGCCCGGGGATCTACTTTTTATTCCCGGTAAGAAGTCGTTCACGTACCCAGTTCGCTGAAGCTGCTCCCGCACTCAGAAAACTTCTGATCCTCGTTTCCTCAGCGCTGTGGTTCCACAACACCCTCGCCCTTCAGTTCGGAGTGGGCGTCAACGTATTTTGGCGCCATCTACCTGCTGACATCTATGATAAAAAAGACCCGTATGGTAACAAAGACCCGGTGGCCGCCGCTCGAGCCCTTCAGGCTCTGGAGCGGGCTCTGCACGCTCTGGATGAACTTCCAGCGGAGTACAGGGACTTCTATGGCCGACGTATGGTCCAGGTCATCCAGAGGCGGACGTTTTGTGACGATCAGGACTCCGACACTACATTACCCAGAAGTCAGTTCACCAAACCTGGATGAGTGTTTGGAGAAAAAAAAAAACGAACCAACACTTTTTGGTTTGCTTCCTTGATCCTACTGCTGCTCTTGGGTCAACGTGATCCTCAAGGCTTTAACATTTAGGCTTCTTGGGTCTTTTTGATCCAAAGCAGCAGGAGGATTAAGGTTGAATAAAAAAACAAAGAACAAAATACAATTTATGACCTTTTAACATGATATGAATATTAACGATGTCTCACTTGTATTCATTTTAAAAAGTTGACGTTAATCCAGTTTGTCCCTTTTGACATCTGTGTGCGTTTGTTGTGCAAATGGAGGCGGCTGCTTTTCGAAATGTTTCATGGCCGAGTTCACAACACGGCAACAAAGCTCATGCTAGCCATTAGCTTTGGAGGTTAGCTTAACTTGCATAAAACTACAGCTTGAAGTAAAAACGTCAGTGAGCCAGGAAAACCAAAACATCCACTGATTATATTTTATTTTCAGTCCTTAATAGAAGCTAAGGTCATCCAGTCTTAATACATGAACTGACTTTATTAACGCCCAATGACACCAGGGTCAAAGGTCAACTGGAAGTACATTCAGCTCGACTGTCACTACAGCTGTCATTTCTAACCCGGCCTGGCCCGACCCGGATTAGAGCCGGACCATAATAATGTGCGGGCTGGGTCGGCCTTTTGATTGCATCAGCAGATGCGCGTGGCTTAATGATCCAATTATATGGCAACGTGGCTTGCCATACAATCATCAGCTGCACACGGCCATTTGACCATGAGCTGACCTTAAGAGGTAAAAAAAAAAAAAAGTTCAGTTAAGCTTCAGATGGGACTGTACAGGCAGCGATCCATCTCAGCCGCTGCACTCAGTGGACGCGTGCGGCCGACGACCCGAACAGGTGAGATAAAAAAATATCCGACATGTCAGAGCATGGTCCGTGTCTGAATAATGTAGAATGCAGGCAGAAGCAGGGATTTAATGCGCTTTGACGACCATGAAAGGACAAACGTCCCCTCAGCTCCCATCCATCTTCAGCCCCAATAGCCGCGTGCGTCCGCCGTTAATAACTAAACTTAATTAAAAATGTCTGTTTTTTTTCAGGTTCTGACCTGTAATTACTGTTAATTCGTCGAGTCGGGTGGGGTTTGGAAATTATAGCTACGGGCGGCGGCCGGGTTGGATTTTTTTGGGCCCGAATGCAACTCCGTCACAAAGAATATTAATACATGGATGAAAAAGTAAAAAACATTCTTATTTCCCATTCATTTGCACACATTTTAGACCAAAACTGGCAAAAGTTGTCAAACAACTCATTTGCAACCAGCATCGGTGGTTTGGTTCATTGTGTACACATGTACAGATGTGAGCCGGTCAACACGCATACCAAACACGGCAGCTCATCTTTGTCCAACAGCAGGGATCATGTGTAAAAGTTTAATTTGTCTAAAACATCTCCTGACCCAGTGGAGTCGAGTCTCTGCAGTCTTTAAACTGTGAGGAAGCGCAAAGAGCAACAAAACATTCAAATCTGGATCCGGACACGCCAACAACACGGAGCGCTTCGGTCCGTTAGCATCCGCGTTTACGTCGCTGAAAGCTGCTCAGACGATGGAGTATCTACGCCGACAGCTGAAATAAACACAGAGTTCAGTTTGACGTTTTATTGCACAAAGATTACAGTTCATGTGTCCTTACAAGATTTAAAGCTTTGTAAACAGTGAACGGCATCACCCCCCCCCCCCCCCCCCCCCAGTGTGTTCAGTATCTCCACAGCCCGTTTCCTCAGCGAGTCTCGGCTTTACGAGCGTGCACCAGAGCCAACCAGTGACCGACTACACGAAGCAGACAGAAGAAACTCGAAGACGTGGCGTTTTTTATTTTAAGTCTTGACGTTCAGTCAGCTGCTGGCTACGTGACAGGAAGATGGGAGTGCTGAGAGAGTTGCTCATCCTAAAACACCGGGTAGTTCAGGATGCTAGAAAAAGATTGGCTTTAGGTGCAAACGGGAGAAACGTTCGACGGGGAAAATGCAAACGTTCCCGGGCCTCCGTTTTGAATTCTTCCACGTTGGAGGAAAGCAGCAGAAAACAGAGCAGCCATGTTGGAAGGACGTAGACATTCAATGTTCTCTTCACGAAGAACTCCCATCCGACGAGAAAACGACCCAAAAAATGGCACATTGCTTGATAAAGTCCTCTACTCGGTGAAAACTAGGCTGAAGTTTCAATCAGGCAGGTGAAGGAGAACCCAAAAGACGGTTCTTTTCCCGGTGGTTGTCCGATTTTGAATGAGCAGAAGCTGAAGTGGGAGCTCGGTGGTTCTCATGGAGTCTGAGCTGCACCACGGCTGGTCTTCATCTTCTCCATTCTCTTACACAAGTGGCTGTTACTCGACTCGAGCTCCTCGACCTTATCCAACGCCGATCGCAGCTGAAGGGTCAAACGAGGAGAAGGAAATAAATAAAGCAGAGTTGGATGAAGTCTGCGAGCGCAGCTCGAGCTGAAGTTGTAGAACTTCCTACCTCTCTCTGCAGCTTGCGTTTCTCTGCCTTCAGCTCGTCCTCCACTTTCTCTGCGTTCTCTGCTGCAGATTTGTAACGCGTCACCTGACCTTCGAGCCGGGTCACCTGCATTCACAGAAACGCATGAGGAGACCGAGGCAAAGTTAAAGGAACACAACGAGCTCTGAAGGAATCGTCTCCGCTCACGTTCTGCTCTAAAGCCGTGGCTTCCTGTTCCGCCTTGGCCAGTTTGAACTTCAGGTCGTTCACGTGCCTGTTGGAGTCTCCTGAAGATGTTTTGCAACAACAGAGATGTTACTCGTTTGAAACGTTCAACTCGACGAGGCCGTTTTCCAACCTGCGTACACCTACGTTGAAAATCCATGATGTTTGGATCGTTTCCGTTTTCAATAATTTCACCGTCTGGACTAGAACCGCAGTCTGAGCCGTTCTTTTGGGCCTTCTGTTCCAGCTGGGCCTTCAGTTTCTTTACCTGGAAGAAGACAGAACACCACATCTTTTTTAACCACCAGTGACTACATGTTCAAAATAAACTGATTCATATTTTGACCGAGTGTACTTCAGGCTGTTTTTCACATTTGAGTGCAAACATCTGGAGGTTTGTTTTAGCAGTGGTTCCAACCATGGTCCTTGAGGAACGCCATACTACATGTTTAAGTTGTTTTCCTGCTCCGACACACCTGATTCAGGGATTTTATTACTTCCTGAAGTTGTGCCAAAGCCTGCAAAGCACACATTCATTCAAATCAAGTGTCAAAGCAGGGAAACAACTAAAACTTGCAGGATTGGGTTCCTCGACGACCAGGGTTGGGAACCACTCATGTAGATGAATTTATTTTTTCTTCTTCTTTCGGCTGCTCCTTCTTCAAGGATCGCCACAGCGAACTAACTCGCATGAAGACTTGGCGATTGTATTTAAGCCAGATGCCCTTCTGACACGACCACCGAACGACCACAGCCCTCTGTGGAGCAGAGAGTTGCCATCTAGGGCGCCAGGGGGAGCAAATGGTGGGGGTTGAAGGCCTTGCTCAAGGGTCCAGAGTGGGCAAATGAGGGTGGAGACAGGTGTGGGTGTTTCGCCTTTCCCACCCACATTTTGATGTTGTTGGTCCAGGGAGTTGAACCGGCAACCTTCTGATTACGGGCCCACCTTCTCTAACCTCTGCACCACCACTCCCCACAGCAGTCATGTAGATCAACATGTTAAATATTTGCTGAGGTTGTAGTTCTGAACGATGGAATTGGTTCAAACTGGTTCAAAACCAACAAAGTCCACGCTCAATAATCCAGGTACACAATCCAACAATTTTCAGTCGCGTCATCTGGACAGTTTTTCTTTTTTGTTTGTTTTGAACCGTTTTGACATGACTGTTGCCAAGAAAGAAGGCTGGCACCGGAGGAGGGGGGCGTGCCAAAGACACCATCTTAGCACCAACATAACTGGTTTGTTCCACTGTTTGGGGGAAGAATCAGTTTTGTGTTGTGCGTTTCCTTGACTGATGAAGCCTTCTGGATGGAAGGTGAAACGTTTCAGCACAAAAAAAAAAAAAAAAAAAGAAACTGTCCAGATGACCTGGCTGAAAATTGTTGGATGGAATGAATAGTTGGTTAATAGTTTAAAATGAATAAACTTTATACCATACCAATAGTTGAGCGAACAGTCGGGTCAATAGTGGGTGGACGACTGAATGTTTGGGTAAGTTTTCTAAATCGACCTATAATCTAGCTGTTTTTTTATACTATTCCTCGATTGTCCTTTTGGTTGCCATTTTGTTTTGATTTGAAAAAAAAAAAAAAAAAAGCAAAACTAATTTGGATACGTCTGCCTATTTTATGACTGTCTGTCGTTGTTGTTGTCACTTTTTGTTAAAATCAGGTCTCTCTTGTAAACGAGCCCCCGTGGATCAATGGGATTAACCTGTTTAAATAAAGGTCGAATAAAAAAATTTAAAAAACTCACCTGCTCTATCATTTTTTCGCGCTCGTCCACCAGTTTTCTCAGGCGAATCTCTGAAAATGAAGCAGACGTCTGAAAACCACATCGGTCCAAATGAATCCTACATTTCTGTGCAAAAGTTCTAATCCAGACCCATTTCCTTATATTTTCCCTCCAAGCAGCCAGATGTTCGTGTTATCTGTTAAAAGTGCTCCTAATCAGCAGCTCTCCAGACGTTTTGAAGGTCTCTTAAAGTTTCTTCTTTGGACTTTCAGTCCTTGTACCTGAACATTTTCACTTCTCTCTGACCTCTGAACCATTCAGGTACAAAAAGGCTCCTGGACTGGAGGGATAACCTAGAACAAGGTGCTGTGTTTACACAAAACAGACATGTCAAATCGGACCTTTGGATCGTTTTTCCCAGCACAGACGCAGTTTGTTCCGATGTCTTCGGTTGAATTAATTAAAAAACTTGACTTTATTAGAGCTAACAAAGTGAATCCAATGAGTTATGAAGGAATCATCTTGTTGGAGCTAAAACCATCTCTTCTGTCAAACACTTATCTTTGGTGTTCTCCACTGATTCAGCTGAAGAAACTGGAACAAACCGAGTTGTCTGTTCTGTCGACACAAATCTGGTCCATCCCTTGACTTGAGGAGACTTTTTATACCCGAATGATTCAGAGGCCGGACTTTTGCACACAACCGTACATAAAATCTAATAAACAACTTTTCACATCAGAAAAAACGACTAATTATCTTTGAAAGGACGAATAATTGAACATACCAGGGACAGGTGGAGCCAAGGAGGTGGTAGGAAGGGAGAAGTGATGCATGCAACAAAGCAGGCATCCGTGGTGGACGAACGGAGAGTGTGAGGGGGGTGGGTGTTAGCATGCACGTGCACGCCACGTCTACAGATACATTCACACAACAGTTCATAACAAAAGTCTTGGTAAATAAAATCCCATCAGAGGTTTTTATTCAGCAGTGCAACAAACATTCTGCACAGTCCAGAGTATATGACAGGAAAATAAAACAAGAAGCTACTTTGATGTGAATAACCAGTTAATATCTGAATTAAAAAAATTAAATAAGAGTTACCAGAATGGTGGCCCCGTCTACACAACTTGAAACACTGAGATACCAACGCTGCGCCGGTAGGTGGCGAGAACGCTCACGGTAATTTCAGTGGGAAGATGTGACTTTGGGATTGCTGGTCCCACCAAATACAACCCCCCAGGACTGTCTTTGAGAATAACTCGTTGACTTTAATTGTACATTACTGGATAAACAAAGGTCAAAAGAAAAATAAACAATAAAGAACATTTGTAGCTTGGCTAAAGATTTGAGAAGTATCCGGCAGAAGGCGACCTTTTCCGGTGCAGAAATACTGAAAAGGGTCCAGCTGTAGACCGAGAGGACCCTTGATGTCCGTGTCCACTAAAACACACGAACTTGACTCACTTTTACAAGAAAAACGTGGTCTCGACAATACCCCAAAACATAACTCTTTAACTTAGCCCCAACCCAAACCCTGACCCCTTACCGTCAAGTCCAAACTAAAACCAAAACCAGATATTTTTTTAAAAGATCTGGCGTAGTGTGGACGGGGCTTGTGTTTCAGAATCCTTGCACAGTTATAACATGAATAAAATAAAACAAACACTGTGATAAATGTTACCCGTTAGATCCAACCCAGTTTGACCCAAACATTAAACCTACAGTCACTCAAAGGTTCTACTCCCGTCTGCTTTTTTTACTGTTTGATGAAGAAGAAAATACACATACATACACAACTTTTTAAAATCAAAGTGCTATGAGGCTTTGCATGTCAAACACTTTATGAACTCATCAAAGATCCACGTTCCTGAGGATTAAGACATCTTACAGTCCTCCTTCCCCTTGCCTTTGCCTTTCTTGGTACTCTTTTTGGCGTCTTTCCCTGACGGTGGAGCGTCTTTGTCGGCAACGTTCTGGTCTACAATCTTTGGTGAATCCAAATCCTGCTGGATGACGTCCAATCCTTCCTTGACTGATGCAGAGATGTTCTCGGTACTCTCCTCTGAGGCGACAGCTAGATCTTTTCCCTTTGGTGCGTTCTGTTTCTCCTCACAAACATTTTCCACCTCTTTAGGTGAAGACCCTCCAGGAGGCAAAGAGTTCTGGTCCTGTTGAGGCACAGGATCAGCTTTTGCGACCAGATGGTTCACCTCATCAACCGTCACCTTCTCATCTCCGCTGTCTACCAGTTTGTCTTCCATCTTTTTGTGCGTCTCAGAGTTACTTTGAGTCATCTCTGAACCGCCAACGTTGGTTTCATCTGTCACGACATCAAGTCCCTTCTCAACACCCTCCTGTTCTGGGATAATGGACTCAGTGGACTCTAGAGCTCCTTCTGTATCCAAGTCATCAAAATCAAAAGACTGCCCTTCATCATCTTCATTATTATCATCTTCATCGTTGCTGTCCTGATGTGAGGGTTGAGGTGAATCAACGCCCTCTGCTTCCTTCCTGCTGGATTCATGGACCTGCTCAGCCAAAGGATCAAGACAAGAGGATCCAGTTTCCTCATCTTGTTGAGCATTTAGAGGTTCTGGATGTTCAGCTGTTTCTTTCTCCTCCGAGGACCGACTTGTAATCGTCACTCCAGCAGCTTCTAAGTCTTTTGTTTCAGTTTTTGAATCAGCCTGATTTGTGTTTTCTGTCCCGTCCTGACCGTTTTCAGTGTTGAACCCTTTAGGGTTCCTGTCCAGCTCCGACTGATTTCCAGATTCTGCTTCGTCTTTGTTCAGCTCCTCGTTCTCTGTTCTGTTTTGCTTTAGCTCTCCTTCTCGACAGGAAGCAACAACTTCTTCTTTGGTTGCAATCTTTGGCATCGGTTGTCCATCGTTTGCTTTAGGACCAATATCTAAGCCGATGTTGGTAGGGTCGGCGCTGTCCGAGTCCACAGTCAGGCTTTTAGCCACATCTCCATCATCAGGATCATCATGAGATGGTGTTGCGTTTCCGTCTTTACTCTCAGGTTTATCAACATCCGTGTCACCCTTCTTTGGACTGTGTGATTCAGGGTTATGGTCGTCTTCACTGCCTGATTCAACGGTGGTTTCACGTTTCATCTCGTCTACAGTTTCTGATGGGGTCTGGACCTCTCCACTATTGGAGTTCTCTCCTCTTGTAGTTGTATCTATGATCAAAATGTCCTCTTCATTGGGGTCTTCAGTGAGCTCAGATTTGAGGGGACTTGTCTTTGGTCCTGGACTGTTTGTGGACTCCTGTTCTTCTACTTTTAATGACATTAATCCACCATCTTTTCCCAGTTTACAATCTGTTACGGATTCCTCAAAAGATTTGACATGAGATAAACTTTCAGTGGGTTCCTTGGCCTCTGGTTCCATTTTTGGCATTTCCAAAATTCCTTCCTTGTTCTGTTCATCTTCAGTTCGCTCCACGCCGTCTTTGTTGAGCGTCTCAGGACGGCACGGCATTTCGCAGGACACTACAGCTTCTTCTGATGCCTCGGTGTGGATAGTTTTCCCTTCACTGAGCTCATCTGAAACATGATCTGTGATTAGTTCTTGGAAAGGTTCCTTTAGAAAAGACCTTTCAGAAGATCCTACTGACTCTACTTTCTCGGTGTCCAAAGTTTCTTCCTGGTTCTGTACATCCTCAGCTCTTGCTTCGCGAGGCGTTTCGGTGTGGCGTGGCGTTTCAGAAGATATTGCAGCACCAGCTTCTTCTGATGTTGTTTTCCCTTTGTCAGGCACATCTGAAACATGATCTGGGACTGGTTCTTGAAAACTTTCCCTTTTAGACAAGCTTTGAGTAGCTTCTACGGCTTCTGCCATCTTCTCGGTTTCCAAAGTTTCATCCTCGTTCTTTACGTCCTCGATGTTCTCTCGTCTTGCTTCACTGGAAGTTTCCATGTGGCCGGGCGTTTCATGAGACGCTACAGCATCAGTGTTTTCCAAGGGTCCAGGTTCCCCTTCTTCAAACTCACCTGAAACATGGTCTGTGATTGATTCTTGGAGAGTTTTCCTGTCAGAACAGCTGTCAGTAGGTTTTACTAGTTGTATCTTCTCGCTTTCCAAAGTTTCTCCTTCATTCTGGTCGCCCTTAATGAGCTCCACCTTTGCTTCACCGAGTGTTTCAGAAGATCCCACAAAATCAGTCTTGGCATTGATAGTTTCCTCTGTGTTTACCTTGTTACAAACTAGATCCGTGATCAGTTCCTTCTGGGAACAGTTTTCAGCGGGTTCTACTGCATCTGCTTGGTCAGGTTCTTGCTCGTCTTGTTCATTACTTATCTGATCTGACGGGGGCGTCTTTAAAGTTTCAGTGACACTAGTGTCAGGTTCTTTGGTGACCTCGTTGTTACTTAGAGCTGGTTTTATGTTCTTTTCTGATTTGTCAACATTTTCCTTATCTTTTTGTTGGTTCTTGTTATCCAAAGAACCTCCTTTCTTTTTGCTCTTCCTCTTCTTCTTCTTCTTTTTGCCCGAAGCCGTAGAAACCTGAGGCTGAGACTTGCTCGGCACTTCCTCACCGTCGTCCTTGTTTGCCTCTTCTGCGTTGTCGGGTTCTTGTTGAGGTTCCGTGTTTGGAACAGACTCCTCGGCTAAGATTCGTTTCTGGAGTACTTGTGCAGCATTTTCCTGTGGATTAAGTTCAGCAGTTCTCAGACTACCCTCCTCACCAGGTCCCTGTTGGCTGTTCTCCTCTAAAAGCTCGGTAACGTTTGGTTTAACAGCCGTACTTTCTGTTGAACCTGGACTTTTCTCAAACGTTTCCTCCTCAGACGTTTTGGTTTGTGGAACACTTTCTTTAGGACTTGTTTGGATCTCATAAACGTTTTGCCAGACAATATTGACCCTTTTAGCTCCAATGTCTGGACAGTCAATGGCGTCAACGTTTAAGTCTTTGATGAGTTCACTTTCTCCTGAGATGAGCTCCTCTTTGCGTAAACAGACCTCTTGTTCTTCAACAGGCTGGTTTTCAAGGCAGGTTTCTGTTTGGGACACCTGGACAACATTACAGAGTGCATCAGGGCTCAAGAGCTTCTCGTCCTCCTCCAGTGTTTCTTGTTGCTCTGCAGCCACCTCTTCCTCTCTGCAACCCCTCAACTCAGCCTCCTCTGTGCTGCCTGGGAGATGATGAAGAGCACACGATGACAGAAGGCCAACACAAAGACTTTTCAACATCTTCATCATCAGGAGGCGCAGCAGCAGAGGTCAAAGTCAAGGCAGAAACACCTGATTGGGTTTGAGGGTGGAAAGAGAAGCAAAGAACCGAGATGTCTGAGAGAAGCAGGAGGAGAAGAGGCAGGAAGAACACCTTAAAGAAACCCAGCAGGACAAGAAAGAGCTTCACAATAATCAAAATAAATCTGCACTAAACAGATCGATAGTTTCTAAAAACCACCAGCCAGCAATTTTTTAAAACCATCCAACAACCACACATCCCACCTTTTGTCAGTTTTGTTCATTTAGTCTTAGTGATTATGTTAGTAAATGGTGATAAAGGTGCACGAGAAGCCTAAAAGAAGCCAGAATGCAAAAAGAAAAATCTAAAAATGAGATGTTAGATTTTACAGGAGAGCATGAAGCCAGATAGATGTGCCTGAAGCTGTCAAACTGGTGATTCTCAGTATTTTTATCAACTGAAACTAGGCCTGTCGCGATAAACAATAAATCAATTAATCACAGGATAAATGAAAATTATCAACCTCATTTTCATTTATCAGCTTTATCGTTTCTTCGCGTCTCTCTCTTTCTACTGAAGACACTGGATGACAAAACTCCGGTGCATTTCACTGACCCCTCCCTTTCTCTTTTATCTTTAAAATTTGTTTTAACCATCCAAAATCGCGTTTTTGTATCTTTAAAGAAGCGAACAGGCCGACCTCGGGGGAAAAAAACTCTGTCTTATCGAAGCTCCAAAATTCACAGTTGAAACCCGTGCCTTTGTCTAAAAAGTTGTTTTTCTTTGAAAAAAGAAGCTGAGAACTTGTTTACTGATTTTTTATTAAAAGCTTTGTGTGAAAAATGCTACGCTAAAGAGCTCAAACCACACCGAGCGTCCGTCATTTTGAGAACCAAAAAATGGAAAGAGAGACAGCCCATGTCATGTCAAGGGGCCTCCCTCCCATTCTTTTAAAGAGGCACGCTACTCGCTCCCTCACTATCCATCCTTCGATTCAAACTGTCTTATACTGCCATGCAGTGGTCAAAAAATGTACTACATTCAAAAATTAACCAACTTTTCTTCTTAAATTTGACAATAATTACTAATTATTGTCAAATTCAAACAATATTATCGTTTATCGCAATAAATTCTGAAACAATTAATCGCTCAGCAAAATTTGTTATCGTGACAGGCCTACTGAAAACATGGTTCAAGACGGTTTAGCTAATTGACTTAAAAATAAAAAAGGTATTAAATCAGAGAATTTTACAAATAAAGGGCTAAAATTTGGTCTTGTAGTAGTTGAGAGTCATCCCCAACAGGTGATGGAAGATCTTTGGTTACAGCTTCGGTGTAGAAGTCAAGAAATGGTACAATTTTATTTTCCAGCATTAAAACCGTCATCTCGCTGATCTTTGAATTCAACTGTATCCAACTATCCATACGTACGACTGAAGGTTTAGGCGGTCTGGTGGTCAAACATCCAGTTTTATTTATCAGAAGTGTTTCATTCAGGAGACACTGTGGAACTCTTCTGATGAGAAAACTCAGAGCTCAAACACAATGGAAGTCAATGAGGGTTTGGGTGTGGGCCCTCTGAGGGGAGGCGAGAACAAACTGGAGCGGCTCACAGCTGGGCTGAGGATCAGAACCTCCAGATCTGAGGCCCTGGTCCTCAGTCAGAGGGTGGACCGTCCTCTCCGGGTTGGGAGTGAGGTTAGGATCGACCCTGGACGCCTCCCTAGGGAGGTGTTCTGGACAAATCCAACTGAGAGGAGAGCCCAGGGAAGACCCAGGACACCCTGAAGACACTGTTTCTGCTGGTCTGGGAACACCTTGGAGTCCTCCAGAAGAGCTGGAAGAAGTGGCTGTGGAGAGAGATGCTGGATATCCCTGATCACTTTGCTGCCTCTGAGACCAGAGTCCAAAACCAGATGATGGATTGGACCTGATCCTTCTATCTCTAAAGTCTGGCCAACCCATTAAGGACCTAATTTCAGCCGCTTGGATCTAAGATCTCGTTTCAGTCCTGATCCAAACTTCCTGACCACAGGTGGTGGTTGGAACGTAGACAGACCAATAAATCCAGAGCTTTGCCTTTTGACTCAACTCAATCTTCACCATGACCAACCGAAGCAACGCCCTCATTACGGAGAACGAGGCCCTGGTAGTGGGTCTAACTCCCATCGTACCATTGCTCAGGAACAAGACGCCCAGATACCTGAACTCCTCCATGGCTGCCTTTTAATAAAAAGTGGTTGATATTGGAGGATTGAAATCGGACGGTTAATCTGTTGAATAAATATAATCTGTACTATAACGTCGTATAAACTGTAAAGAAGAGTTTGTTTGCAAAGATTTTAGAGCGTTTCAACAGCTCAAGAGTTGAACATTCAGCAGTGAAATCTTCTTAAACATAAACAGTGATTGTGTAAAAATCCTTAAAGAGATCAAAATGCCAGTTCGGTCCTTCCTGTGACCAGTTTAATCTCCGAATGATGGTTCTGCTGTGAAGTCCGAGCTGGAGATCCAAACAGAACTGGGCTTTTAACACTCATTTCACCAAATCCCTATCGTTTACTATGATTTATTTATTTATTTTAATCTTTTTTAACAGATTTTGTCCATGTCGCAGGAAGTACTGCGACCAAACTTTGAAGCGTTTTATACCGGACTGACGCGTTTTAAGTTTTTTAACACCGGCTCACATTTCCGGGTCGTCAGCTGTGACGCATAATAGATGCGACTTATACAGTGAAGCGACTTATTTATGGATTTTTCCAAATTATTAGACATTTTTGGACTGAAGCGACTTATAGGCCAGAAAATATGGTAGGGTTTTTTTTTTCTTCATAGCTGCAGGATTAGCAGCTAATGGCACACCTAACTCTAAAACCATCACTTTAAACAGGAGACATAAATTTCCAGAAGTTTTTAAAACCCCGTCAACTACAAGACGTTCAGAGAATGTAAGAACCAAAAGCCCCTGAAGAAAAAACAGTAAAATAAAATAGACTTACGTTGATAAAACCTACGATTCCTTGAACGTTACTTTAGTTTTGAGAAAAATACAGAGGATCACCAAGATTATCTGCGTAAAAGTCAAAACACTCGTCGTTAAAAAAAAGACTCGAGGAGCTGAGAGCCGAAGGGTCGGCTCCAGAAATCAAACGTTCTCTGAAAAGAGTGGAAAGAAGCGCCGACAGGACGGTGAAGCGTTTCGTCATGAAGCGCTTCCGTTAGTCGTCTGCGAAGCCGTGCAGCGTGAGGACGGGGCGGCTTCTTACCCAGCATGCCGTTCCCTTCTGGCTGAGACGTCTGCGGGTCCGGAGCCGAGCGGGACTCGGGTTCCACTCCGGGGGTCTCGTCCACTTCTGCTTCACCGGCGTCCCCGTTGACGCTCAGGTCGGGTCCAAGGATGATTCCATGTTTCTGCACAGAAGAGACGAAGGTTAGAGCTCCAGAACCAAAGGGTTGTTTGAGGGGAGAACCCGCGCGGCGGTACCTTCAGAACATCTTTCAGCTTCACCACCTCCTCCCTCAGCTCGTCCCGCTCCACTCGGACGGCGTCTGTGTATTCTTTCTGTCGCTCTAACGCCTGAGCCAAAGGCGGCGTGCAGGAAAGAGTGACCAGAGGAGAGGAAAGGTGAATAAAGTTCATGCAAAGACGAAACTCGGGTCGTGAAACGGGTCAGGGCTCGTACCCCAATCTTTTTATCCTTCCACTCCACCGTCTCCTGCAGGTCGGAGATTTCCCTAACGAAAGCGTCCTGTTTCAGACGCAGCTGACGGATCTCCTAAACAGCCGCAGGATGAAAGGAGAGTTTTATGGAACGTTAAAGAAGTTTATGGTGTGCACAAAAAAGGGAAAGGAAACTGTGAGAGCAGCCGAATGTGCAGCCTTTAGAGAGCCGAACGCAGACCAGAACCGAGACGTTGGGTCGGAGGAACCGCACTCACGTTCAGGAGTTCTTCACTTTGCTTCAGCGTCTCCTTCACTTCGTTGAACTGGAACTGCAGAACGCCGTGGGCGTGTTTCTCCCGCTCAAACTCCTGCAGGGATCAGGACGCAGATAAAACACGACAGCTGACCTCACTTGTTTTATTTGAAACAATATTTTCACTGAAGAAACCTCACAGCACCGCTGCGCTCACACAGCTGCAGGCAGAGGTTAATCAAAGCTGGATTTGTTGTTTTTAAATCTTTTTAAACTGAATCAATCTTTATTTTTTCAATATAGAGTTTTGAATCTTTCAGCAGCTACTGGTTGAAGGGTGCCAACTATATATTAACGATTTAATTAGTTTATTTATTACTAACAACAATGGCTGACAGCCAGACGAGCAAAACAAAGCTTCTTAATAAATAACACAGGGGCAACACATGGCCTGAGGGCCAAAAGTGGCCCTTGGACAATCTCCACCTGGTCCTTAATACCCCACCCCAAATAAAAAAGGTATTAAAAAAAAACCTCCATTTTATCAAATAATCTTAAATTAACTATCTTTAAAAGACTTGTGGATTAAGAAAAGTTAAAACTTGTTTTGCCTGGTAAGTTATTGTTTGTATTTCCAGAAGTCGACTGAAGCTTAAAACCTCTAAATAGCAAATATTAAACTTTTTTTTTTTAATTGTTTTTTACATATTTTAAGATAAAGTTTATTGTCACAACAGACAGCTTACAGAAAGTATAACTTTTATTCCTAAGGGGTATAGTGAAGACCTATTTTTGTTTTTATTTTCAGTCTTAAAGAAAATATACTTTCCAATTCACTCTGTGGTCTTTGATTACCTAAAAAAAAAACCCTCAACAGAATCCGTTCAAGACACATCATGCCACTGGGTGGCACCATTCACCCAACCTGATGACTTCAGTCCATATTTATCAAAGTTTTTCAACAAAACGCTGGAAATTATTTACCAGTAATGACATTAAATAAACATTTGGCTGATAGACCATAATATTTAGGGACCAAAAGGTTTAGAGGAATACTGTAGTCTTGTTGAAAGCTTTGTTCTGAGTTTGGAGTTTAATTCACTGACACTCAAAGTGGAGGGTTTGTTTTCCCCAAAAAGAGGCGGAGCTTCCCTCTCGTGTTAAACATCCATGTTTTGTTTGGCCAAGACTGAAATTTTCTGTTTCTTTACTGTAATACATTCAGTCTTGTACACAATCCTCCTCTCTGTATAGAGACGATGCATTACGGTCCTCTGTACCACGAATCAGAATCAGAATTCAAAGGTTGTTTCCCAAAAAAGAGGCGGAGCTCGACACAAACAGTCTGGTCTCATGTTCAACGATAGAAAAGGTAAAAGATACGTGTTGTTATTACAAGACTTAAATTTTCAACACACTTCCTGTTTCCTCACAATAACAATCCTCCTCTCAGTGTGCAGACTGGATATATTATGTTCCTTGGTACAAAGAATCAGAGTCCGACTGGCTGCTTGTGCTCAACTTTTAACCAATCATTGTTCGTCATGGATCACATTACCAGATCCTCTAAATTTAATCAAATCAATAACAGAGTACAGCGAATCATAACTTCCTGTTTGCGGGTAATGCGATTTAAAATTTGCCCGTAGCCTACGGTTGGTGATGCAGAGTATCTGCTGGTTCATGAGAAGGGGCGGTACGCTAAAAATGAAAATTTAGATGTGCAGGTGCAGAGTACCGGTGAGCACCGGCCCATTTCAAGCACCGATTATACATGCAGGTGCAGCTATGTACACATGTTCAACTATTTTTTTTTAAAAGGCGTTAAAGGTTATAGAAGGTCTTTTATTTTGACACAGTCAGGATTTAATAACTTCCTGTTTGTGATCATGACTGACTGCAGCTGGTAGTTTATTGTTACCAGCATAAAATGACTTGTTGGGCAGCCATGAGCAATCCTCAGAAGTTTGAAGAAAGTCCAGGAAAATTGCTTTTGTTTTAAAGTGAAAGAAATTTTACCCTGACTTTGTCTTCATATTCCCGACGCGACTCGGACAGCAGCTCCTCCAGCTCCATCAGCGAGTCTTTGAGCGTGTCCACCTGGTACATCAGGTTGTTCTTCTCGTTGTCCAGCTGAGCGTTGGACACCATGGCCTTACGGTACTTCTCCTCCACCTCTGCCAACGCATCCTGAAGCAACGACACGAAAGCACAGAACCGGGACAAGCTCAGAGACGTGACGAGTGGCCATGTTTTCAGTAAAAATCAGCAGCTAAAAGGAGAGAAATCTGAGCTCTGATAGGTCTAAAATGCGCAAAAAAGGTGTGAAACGGTCACACACAGATGCAGCTTTATTAAAAGGATGTCCGATTAGTTGAAACAACAAACATTAAGTGATAAACAATCACCTCAGCTACAAAATGAGACCATAAAATACTATAAACTGATTAGTTTATATATATATTTCAAATGAATGACACATGGACGTCACCAATTTATGCTGCAATGCATTCTGGGTAAGTGACGTAGACAGGTTACCCTTAAATTCGAACCAGAGCGCGTTGATAGAGAGGAGAATGGAGAAATGACAGCTTTCACAGTAGCTCCTGAGCTAAAATCCCAACAGAACCTCACTGACCTACACAAGGCGAGGTCAGTGAACAAGGCCAGGCTGATTCTGGCAGATCCTGATCACCCACTCCATAGTGAGTTCAGGTTGCTTCCAACCTGAACTTCCAGTCCCTTGGGGATAATAAAGATTCTTGAACTTGAGCATACATGATGTTAGCTCAAGAGTTAATATATTTAGTGTTAGCTCCAGTATATGTTGTGCATGAGAACTAATAAAAAATGTAAATATATTGTCATGTTATAACTTTTTAGCCTTGACTCCTGTCTCCAACTGATGAACGTCATCGCCTTAGAATTCATGGCGTCGGTAAAATAACTGCGACGTCCTTAGGTGAAACATGTAATAAACATATATGATTCTTTGTACGCAGAGGACAGAGCGTGATGGAGGAGGATGACACGCTGTGGCAATGCCCAAAGAGATAAAAACCAAAAGAAGAAAAAGAAGAGGAGAAATAAAATAGATTATGGTAAATTTGTGTAAGTAGTCGGACATCCCTTTAAGTCATTAAACATAGTTTGGTTAATTGATCTGCAACCTGATTAATAATCAAACACACAAAACCAGATCAGTTGAATTAGCAGCAGAGAACCCGTCAGTAAAAAGTCGGGAGCCGAGTCTCAAATGTGTACCTTGGCTTCTTTCAGGTTTTGCATGTACTTGGTTTCCACATCCTGAATCTGATCCTTCAGTTCATGAATCTCCTGTTGGAGAGCGAAGCAGCAGCAGCAGCAGCAGCAGCAGCAACAGCAGCAGCAGCAGAGAGCAGAGAGCAGAGAGCGCAGCGAGACGAAGGTGAAACAGAAATGGTGATGACAGTGAGATGTTACAGAAGAAGAATGAAAAGAACACTAACTGGACCAAGAAGCCTTTGATGTAGATGTTTAATGTTTTATCAAATGACTAAAATATTTTATTCAACTTGTCAGGGTGAAATAAAATAAATACTAACTATCAGTAAGCTGAGTGACAGCAGGGTTCACAAAAAAAAAACAAAAAAAAAAAAAACGACTACATCTGTTAAAAGAAAGTTAAAAGACAAAGAAAAACAACCTTAATTTTCATAAAGGTCTCATGTTTGGTTCTGGTTCCACAGAACAGTACCTTAATCTCTCGTATGGCGCTCTCGGCATCCACAGTCAAAGCGGTGTCTCTGCTCCCTCTCCGGGAGGACGTCCCTCCTAAAGACGTGAGGGTGGTTGCTGTGAGGGCGGAAGCTGCTCGAGATCCCTGAAACAGAAACATGCAGATCAAATGTACATGTAAATAAAAAGATATATGTAAACTGTGTCTGTTAGCAAAATATCTCATGAAATATCATTGATTTCTGGCTTCAGTTTCAGGTGACCGTCACAGTTAATCAGTCCTAACATAATCCACTAAAAATTGCTTTAATTCAGTCAAGTTTACAGACACTGAGTTACATAATATGAGACTTAAAGCTGGTTTCTCTCTACACTTTAACTATTGCAGACTGCTTGCAAAGATAAGGGACTGCTGCAGGAAACTGTTGGGGACTGCTGCAGGAAACTGTTGGGGACTGCTGCTGGTGACTGCTGCTGGTGACTGCTGCTGGGGACTGCTGGCAAAGATTGGGGACTGCAGCAGGCAACTGTTGGGGACTGCAGCAAGCAAATGCTGGGGACTGCTCCAAATGTTGGGGACTTATGGTGACTGCTGGCGACTGTTGAGGACAGTTGGAGACTGTTGGAAACTGCTGGCAGCTGTTGGGGACTGATGGCGACTGTTGTTGGGTTGCTGGCGACTGTTGGGGCTGTTGGCGACTGTTGGGGACTTATGGCAACTGCTAGTGACTGTTGAGGATGGTTGGAGACTGTTGGAGACTGCTGGCGGCTGTTGGGGACTGATGGCGAATGTTGTTGGGTTGCTGGCGGCTGTTGGGGCTGTTGGCGACTGTTGGGGACTTATGGCAACTGCTAGTGACTGTTGAGGATGGTTGGAGACTGTTGGAGACTGCTGGCGGCTGTTGGGGACTGATGGCGACTGTTGAGAACTGATGGCGACTGTTGGGGGGATGGTGGCGACTGTTGGGGACTGCTGGCGA